GTTCTTGGTTATATTTGCTTCGGGCAGTTATAATACTGAGTTAAGTGGTGCTTTGACAGTCAAAACTTAAAATCTATGCAAATGACTGAAGAAAATCACACAAAAATATTTCAGCAAAACAAAAGGTAAATCAATTAGACATGCTTTTCCTTGGAATATAATGGCACAGCACTTCTCATATTTTCACTTTTTTGTAGGATTCTGGACCTTAATTTTTTGGTAAGATGAAGTTGCATTGCATCTGATGAGCTGCTGGGAGTTTTAAATAATGAATTCTGCTGTAGACTACTACTGAATGATAAGTATTGGAATATATTCCCTAGTTTTCTACATTTCTTGAATTTCCTCTTAAAATAGCAAGCAGTAAACAATTTAGGTCTTTTTCTTAAGATCTATAACAATAGAAATGTTTTCAGAAGATGAAAATGGCAGCAGTCACTGAATTAGCCTGATCTAAGCATTTTATTTGCCTCCCATGTCGTCAGTAGTATTGAGCAACTGCTATTCATTATCCTGGAAGGTACATTTTGGTACAATTAAATGGCTAAAATAATGCAAGGAACCACCCAATGATAATAAAATCTGAGTCTTGCTCTGAAATGTATATTTTTTAAAGCTGTGACAGTATTTCAATACTCAGTTTGTTACAAATGCTTCATGGCTCATTTGTCTGTTCAAGCCGTACCCTACAACATATTTTATTGCAATTTGTACTCCATGTGAAAATTATTTGAAAATATTGCAACCTAGAACTGCAACCTATTTTGTTACAATTTGTACTCCATGTGAAAATTACAGTGGAAGTGAAGAAAAGAATTGAAAACAAGGTTAAATAAGATTTAACATTAAGATCTAATATTATCAAAACTTACTTTGAAATGAAGAATAAATAAAATATCTTAATGAATCTTTTATTCTTTTGACTAAATACAAGTTGCATTGCATCTTTGCAGAGCTTCTCACAGCAAGGCACAATGAGATTTGTCACCGTATCTTACCAAACTCAACTTAGCGATGATATGCCCCTCCCCTGTGGTGTCCCTCACGTCTGATTCCATCTCTATCTCACTATGCACCATTCCTAGAACAACTTTTACTCAGCAGCTATCTGCAGAAAAGCCAGCATGCCTGGCGCCTGCACCATTTTTAAAAGCCACTGTACATCTGGAGAAATGGTGGTACTCCAAAGTTGCCTTGCTCATTGATGGATAAAATCTGAACATATCAGAGAAGGCGAAGATGGTATTGTGCTTTTCCAATAGTGTCCTGGAGGGGGTTGTGCAGAGGAGTCTTGCCCTCTTCCTGGACGACTGACATAGGAGGCTTTACCACCAGACGTTGGCAACCTGATCTGAGGTCATCACCCAGGTCAGTGCCATCTCCAGGATGTGGAGGAATGGCCAGCAGTGCTGCAAAAAGATCACTGACCTTCTCTGTTCTGTCAAGGTAAATGCCACACTTCTCTATACAACCTCACACTCACTCTATCTCCGCCACTGCACCCGCCTTCCACCAAGGTTCATGCTGTCCCATTCTCACTATTACCTGCAACATCTTGACTCACTCATTCTCACCCACCCCAGCCTCCCACACTATTAAACCTGTATGGTGTCTGTGCTGCCTACTCATTTCATCGAACACCTTACCTACTAGTGCCTACCTGCACTAGCACTAATGGCTGTGCCACTGACTTCCATCTTCCTTTCTTTCATTACAGCAAAACACAGCAACAATAGGACAGAAATAGGTGGATGTGTCCCCAATATTCACCTCCCCTGTGAGGAGAGAATCCTATTTGTCACAGAAGATTTGGAGCACTGCAGAGGTGATGCCAATGCACCCATCACGCACCAACCAAATAGGTACCATTCTTCATTTCATTACAACTCTCGCAGTAACAAAGAAAAAAGAAAATTACAGTACAGGAACAGGCCCTTCGGCCTTCCAAGCCTGCACCAACATGCTGCCCGTCACAACTAAAATCCCCTACCCTTCTGGGGACCATATCCCTCTATTCCCATCCTATTCGTGTATTTGTCAAGATGCCCTTTAAACGCCACTATCGTATCTGCTTCCACTACCTCCCCCAACAGAGAGTTTCAGGCACCCACCACCCTATGTGTTAAAACTTTGCCTCATACATCACCTTTAAACCTTGCCCCTCACATCTTAAACCCATGGCCCCTGGTAACTGACACTTATACCCTGGGAAAAAGCTTCTGACTGTCCAGTCTGTCCATACCCTGCATATCTTGTAGACCTCTATTAGGTCGCCCCTCAACCTCCATCATTTCTGTGAGAACAACCTAAGTTTCTCCAACCTCTCCTCATAGCTAATGCTCTCCATACCAGGCAACATCCTGGTAAATCTTTTATGTGCCCTCTCCAAAGCCACCACATGCTTCTGGTAGTATAGTGACCAAAATTGAACACAATATTCCAAATGCGGCCTAACTAAGGTTCTATAAAGCTGCAACATTACCTGCCAAATTTTAAACTCAGTGCCCCAGCTGATGAAGGCAAGCATGCCATATGCCTTGTTGACTACCTTCTCCACCTGCATTGCCACTTTCAGTGACCTGTGTACTTGTACACCCAGATCCCTCTGCCTATCAGGTACACAATAGTGTAACATCGCTGTCAGTGTCATTCATTGCACACCATTTCTTACTACTGGCTGCAAAAGCCTTCCCTCTATTTTGTCTTGCAGTTGCTACTGCAATGTCCACCTCTGTGGAGAAATGACTGGCTAAGCCAGAAGCCACATCCCTATGCCTTGAGTGCATGGTTCTGTGTGTAATGTTGTTTTCCTTTAAAAGGCCTCACATTGGTGTGTCCTGGAACCCTGTCTCTGACAAGTTGATACATTTACCTCACCCACCCTGGGAGCAGTCATAGCCATTTTCATTCCAAATACATGCTTTTGATTTCCAGCATGACAGAAAGCAACGGTGAGTGCTCTTTGCCTAGTAACTCCAAGCTTGTGCTTCTATCTGTTGATGAAGACTAGAATATCCAAATGTGCTTTCTAGTAGCCTTTCTCATGACTCGTATCAGCATTACACCTCTGTGAGTCCTCACCAAACCTGTATACATGAACCTGAACGTGTCCACGTTTGCCACCCAGCCCTGGCATATGAAGTGACCATGTCAGGTACGACCATAAAGTATTTTCTCCTTGAAGCCAGCGTGCTCCTGATCATGGACAAATCCCCGCCTGCGTGACCGCTCTTTCCCATCCATGCTTTACCGCTCTTTCCCATCCATGCTTTACCATGTCTGCCTCCTTACAAATACTGTTGCTCGCTTCACAATTGACATCTTCCCTTCCCCCTTCCTACAGTCCCCATTTCCAAAGAATAACTAAACAAGTCTCCTTCCCATGGTAGCAACACTCCCACCCCCCACCCCCCAACCCCGTCTCAATCCTCCTTTCTACTCAATTTTTGTGGATGGACCCAGTGGACTGACTGTGGTTCACCCCCTTGAGCAACGTAACCAGACAGCCCAAGAAGAGAAGTGCCCAGACTCTGGACTGATGGCTGTACTTCTCCACGATCACATTAGAATTACCGCCCCCCCACCCCTCAGACTGGTCGCTATGGACCTAGCAGGCTTGATTGTAACCCACTCCTGGGACTGTAGAAACAAGGTTCCCCTGATCAAGAACATCTTGACTGAACACCTGATGGTGTTCAGTCTCCTGCATTGGTACCAGAGGTTGCCTGCCTTTGATTACAGTGCTGGAATTCTCTGACTGACAGCTACTGTTCCCCTAAGACTTTGAGATATGGCTACTTGCTTGCTACACATGCAGCGTGCTCACTGCATAGGCTGCTGACAGAGGGTGCACGTGTGAGATTCGCACAGCACACTGCCGTACGGAAAGATATACACCTCTTCACCGAAGACTGCTGATCAGCGAGGTATGCTGCCTGGTTGTGTGACTGCACTAATAAGCAAGGCAATGCATGACAGGACTGCTGCATATATGAAGCTGGACACCAAGTGAACAAGTGCTAACAAAGCAAGTGAGAAGTCTTAAGATGTAAGCCCGGCCCAGTACATGAACTGGGTACTTGTCTGTGTGCATAAAGTGTCATTACAGCATTTCAATGCTAGTTGCCTTTATGTCTGTAATGTAGGTAAATGCTTCCTGAGAATCATGCAAATTAATCAGACAGGTGCCATCATGCTTGTGAGGAGTTGGCAAATGTCAGATACGAGTGTCCGTGAATGAGAAGTGCATGCGGCTGGTGCCCGTGAATCATGCCGAGAAATGGTGTTTGGTGCTCAGCAACCTGAGGGCGCCTGCAGCCAGCAATAAGTTGAAGTTGACAGGTGTCCACTCTAACATTCATGTTGAGATTTCTCAATGTTTGGCCTGTTCATGTTTGATAAGAATGAAAGTTGAGGTGAACTGTGACCTTAATGAGGTGTCAAACAAACTAGAATACCCCTTAATTGGCAACTCACCACTGCCTACCAAAAAACTCACCTCATCATTCTGCAAACGCATAGACTGTGCAGCAAGTTGCTCCCTATGTCAAGAAAGGCCTCAAATTTTCCCAGTCAACATTGTTCTGACCCCTATATTGTGTTTATTGTTTGAGTGATAATAACAGCATGTAAAATGATTCAACAAATAATTTCAAAATTGATTTGTATGCTGCTTTAAAGAAAATTTACTAAATATGCATGCCTAGTATGTATGAATTTTCATGTTGAATTGTTAATATTTCTTAGAGTTAATATTTAGAGTCACTGTGTTACTGATTTCAGCTGATTTATGTTTCCCCCACCCTGAACTATGCATTTTAGAATTAATAGTTACCCAGGGAATTTAAACCAGCTGGGAGCTGAATCAAGTATTTACTGAAATAAAGTACGAGCATTTTTACTGAAAGTATTTTTTAAAAAGGAGAAACATCTGATATATTTTGGAAGCAAGCTATAAGGAATTCTGCACAATGCTGCTGTTTCCTTGACAACAACTTCAGATGCTGCCATTACCATGGGAATGGTTCTTTTAAATGAAGCTGCAACATCCAAAGGTGACGTAGGGAAAAGAAGAAGTAAGTTATGCCTAGTTTTATATCAGTACGTTTACTTCTTTTTTGAACACACAAGGCATTTCAAGCAGTAAAATATGGATAGAGAAATGAAATTGGCTACTTTGCATATGTTATATATATATATTGGCTTGTCTCCTACTATTTACGTTATCCGTTACTCAATAGTAAAGTCTCTACTACATAGATCGTAAGGACTTTGATAATTTCAACAATTTAACAATATTCAAAACAATCAGGAGGATCTGACTTTATGTCTTAGAATTATGATATTAAGTGATGAGAATTTTTAAAAACTCATTCATGGAATATGGGCATTGCTGGATATGCCAGCACTTTTTCCCACCCTTAATTGACCAGAGGGCAGTTGAGAGTCAATCACATTGCTCTGGGTGTGGAGTCACGTGTAGGTCAGACCAGGTGAGGATGGCAGTTTCCTTCCCTGAAGGATATTAGCGAACCGGATGGATTTTCTGAGAATTGACAATGGTTTCATGATCATCATTAGACTCTTAATTCCAGATTTTTATTAGATTCAAATTCCACCATCTGCTATGGCGGAATTCAAACCCAAGTCCCCAGAACATTACCTGGGTCTCTGGATTAACAGTCTAGTGATAATACCACTAGGCCATTGCCTCCTGTTTGGGGCCAAAATTTGTTAGACGTTAGGATCGGGCATGGGATTGTGATTGGCATTAACACACACCCATTCAAAGTAATGCATACAATGCAAAAACTCATTCTTCCTGTTAATTTAGTGATTGTGGTATGTAGCTCAGTACTGAATACATTGTTGAGTGGCTGCACACCTCAGCAACGGTCCCAATTCAAGCTCCTCAAAAACCAGTCTGCACCCCTGAATGTTGAGATAAATTCTCGCTGCAGCTGAAGCATGAAATGATGAAAGAGACATTGAAGACAGAAGAAGGTTGGAAAATGGTACAACAGGACAGTTAGCCTGACAAAGGTGTTTGGGTGGAGCACTGAGAACATAGTAGGAAAAGACACAAATGTGGAGAGAAGTCATCTACCCTCAGGAGACCAGTAGGCCCTCAAGACAAATACTAAGAAGGCAATACAATGTCTAGTCATGAAGATGTGGATAGAGTGCCTCAAGAAATCTAAGAACCTTAAATAGATAACCAAGGTACAAGGCGAATGTATCTTCATATGTCATATCCTACCAACCACACCACTAGTCTCTCACATTGCTGTATTCACCATAGCTTGTTAATTCACTTTACAAAAAATTCCATCAAATGCAACTTGGACCTTATAGATGTTTTCTCATCAACCTATTTGGTGATGTTCTCATACATCTCTGGAGCAGTTGGCTAAGAAGTAGGCACACTAACACTGTGTAAGAAGAGCCCTAACTGAGACCTCATTTCGTTAGCCACAACCTTACACAATTAGCACTGCTCCAAGCACTGTCATTTCGCAGCCTGCACACACAACCATCTATTTAACTGTGGCATACACATCGCACCATATTCATGACACATTGCTCTCTCTAATAAGACAAGGTCACACACAGTTAGAGGCAGTAGCATAGCTGTGAATCTATATCCTGATAGAAGAGGCAGTGTTGGAAATCATTAATACAAATTTGACCACGTTTGAGGCCAACTGTGAGTCAATTCTACTCAATCCATTTTGTCCTGGCTCCTCATACTTAAAAGCACTACTGATTGATAGCTGCAAATGGTGCAACTACAGGCCTCTTGTTTTCCATCTCTTCTTTCATCAGGCCCAACTGTACTGCAGGGAATAGGTCCTCAGAGAACAATAGAATTATGAAGAAGAAGCATTATCATTCAATCTTATACCCTCATCACCAGCTCAGACCTGATAGTATATTCACTTTGGAGGACAGCATAGATGCTGTATTGGTATGGACTGAGCTGACAGGCATGTTCAATATGATTACACATTTTTAAACACCATTCGCAACTCGTCATATACTGAACCTGCCTGTGTCAATATGCATCAAGATCTGTAGAACTGTCACGTTTGGGCATCAAATGGCAAGTAACATTCACTCCATACAAGTGCTAGGCAATGGCCATCTCCAACAAGAGGCAATCAATTGTTGTCATCTAATGGCATTATCATCTTGGAATTCCCTATTATCAACATCCTGAGAGTTTTATTGACCAGAAAACTGAACTGACGAGTCAAATAAATACTTTGGCTACATGAACAGAGCCTAGGAATCCAGAAGCAAATAGCTCACCTCTTGACTCATCAAAGCCTGTCCACCATCTACAAGGTCGAAGTCAGGATTGTGATGAGATCCTCCCTACTTGCTCAGATGAGCATAGGTCTAACAACTCAAGAAGCTTGATACTATCCAAGTCAAAGCAGCCTGTTTGATTAGCACCATGTCCACAAAACATACACTCCCTCCACCACTGACACTCAGTAGTGTGTACCATTTGTATGTGACTCACCAAGGTTCCTCCAACAGCACCTTTCAAATCTGTGATGTCAAATACTTAGAAGGATAAAGAAGCAGATATTAGGGGGAAAAAAGCACCTACAAGTTCTGCTCCAAATCTCATTGTGCCCTGACCCAGAAGTATGTTGCTATTGCTCCATTTGTACTGGGTCAAAATCCTGGAACACATTTCCTAATAACACTGTGGGTACATATACTCCAAGGATTACAGTAGTTTATTGAGGAAGCTCAGCACCACCTTCTCTATGACATTTAAAGATGGGCAACAAATGCTGGCCTTGTCAGCAATGCACACATTCCATGTCATAAAGTCATAGAGATGTACAGCACAGAAACAAACCCACTCATCCATGCGATTAGATATCCCAAATAAGTCTAGTTCCATTTGCCAGCATTTGGCCCATGTCTGTCTAAACCCTTACTATTCATATACTCGTCCAGATGCTTCTTAAATGTTGTAATTGCACCAGCCTCCATTACTTTCTCTGGCAGCTCATTCCATACATGCACCACTTTCTGCGTGAAAAAGTTGCCCCTTAGGTCCCTTTTAAATCTGTCCCCACTCACCTTAAACCAATGCCCTATAATTTTGTATTCCCCCACCCTGGGAAAAAGACCTTGTCTATTTACCCTGTCTACGCTCCTCATGATTTAATAAACCTCTGTAACGTTACCCCTCAGTCTCTGAAGTTCCAGGGAAAATAGCCCCATGAATGAATAAAAATAAATCACTACTATCAGGATATGGTTCAGAACATAAGCCAAGAAGAAATAGAATTGATGTGGATCAGATGGCCAATCAAGTTTAGCTACTATTCAGTGCAATTGTGTCTGGTCTTTGAGTCAATCTTTACTTTCTGTACACTTTTTATATCCTTGCCTTGATTCCCTGAAAGACCAAATATCTCTCAATTCAATGGAGAGGCATCTACAGCCCTGTGGGATAGAAAATTCTAAAATTTCACAAACCCTAAAGTGAAGACATTTGTCCTCATTCCATTCCTAAATGATTGCCCCCTTAGCCTGAAATTATGTATGTATTAATCCCCGGCTAGGGGAAATAATTCCCGTGTCAATGCTGCCAAATCCCTTCGGGACCTTTGTGCTTTAGTAGGATCACTTCACATTCTTCTAAACTCCAAAGATTACATACCTAATTTATTTAGCATCTCATAATATAGCCTTCTTGCGCGAGGCACCAATCTGGTTAACCTTCACTTCATTGTATTTAATGCAGGTATGTCCCTTTTTTTTATATAAGAGGACAAAACCTATTCTAGGAAAAAGGCAGAAGTGCTGAAGAATCTCAGCAGGTCTGGCAGTATCTGTAAAGAGAGAAACAGAGTTCATGCTTCAACTCTGATAGGACTCTTCTTAAGGAGTTCTGGAGAAGAATCATATTGGACTCAAAACATTAACTGTTTCTCTAGTGCTTTCTGTTTTTGATTCAGATTTTGTTCTTATTGCATGTCCTAAGTATGGTTTAATCAAAGCCCCTATACAATTATAATAAGACTTCTATTTTCTTGTACTCTTTTCTGTCTTGTACTCTAATGTGCTGTTTGTCTTCCTATGCTTGCTGCACGTGCATACCAACTTTGTGTACCAAAACATCCAAGGACATCTGAACTTCAAAATTTAGAGGCTTCATAGTATTTGTTTTAAAACAAGATCCTTATTTATTCTTGGAAATCAAAGTGAATAGTCATATTTGACATTACGTTGTACTTATTCTTCCAACTTGTCATCCACTCAATTAACTTGTCTGTATTTGGAATATTGTGTTCAGTTCTGGTTGCCTCATTATAGGAAGAATGTGGAAGCTTTAGAGAGGGTGCAGAGGAGATCTACCAGGATGCTGACTGGACTGGAGGGCAGGTCTTATGAAGAAAGGTTGAGGGAGCCAGGGATTTTTTCATTGGAGTGAAGAAGGATGAGAGGTGACTTGATAGAGGTGTACAAGATGATGAGAGGAATAGATAGAGTGGATAGCCAGAGACCTTTTTCCCAGGGCAGAAATGACTATTATAAGGGGGTATAATTTTAAGGTGATTGGACGAAGGTATAGGGGAGATGTCAGAGGTAGGTTCTTTACACCGAGAGTGGTGGGTGCATGGAATGCGTTGCCAGCGGTGGTAGTGGAGTCGGATACATTCAAGGGTAGGCACATGGAGGATAGTAAATGAAGGGTATGCAGGGTAGTTTGATCTCAGTGTAGGATAATAGGTCAGCACAACATCATGCTGTACTGTTCTATGTTCTGCGTTTTATGTCCCTTTTGCAACCATAATATGTCACTTTTCATAGCTAGCATTCCCATCTAGCTTCGTATCATTAGCAAACTTAAGATTTGTTGCTATATTTGATTAAGTTATTAATATAGAATGGAAAAAGCTAAGGTCCTAACACAGCGGCGCTCAGTCACTTTCTGCCAACTTAAAAATGCCCCATTTATCACTGTTCTTTGCTTTGTGTCCCTTTGCTTGATCTCTATTCATGCTAAACTATCATACCAAACTCCATGAGCTCTTATTTTACA